CGAAGTCTAGCACCACGTTGGTATTCTCTCTCTCTTCTCTCTTCTCTCTCTCTCTCTCTCTCTCTCTCTCCTCTGTTGCAGTCGGCGAATCCTAACATCAGCTCGATTTATCTCCCTTGCTTCTATCGCATCACACCCGGCGCAAGCCTAGTGCCGATTAGTTCTCTTCTTCTCTTCTCTTCTGGCACAGTCGGCGAAGCCTAGCGCCAACTACTTCCTCTCTCTCTTGTCTTTTGATACAGTCGGTGAAACCTAGAGCCGACCGTATTCTCTCCCTCTTCTTCTAACACAGTCGGCAATGCCTAGCGCCGACTGCATCTCCCTTCCCTCTTTCTCTTTTATCCTCTCGTATCTTCTCCCTCCTTCTGTCTATTCCCTTCTTCTCTTACTTCATTCTTTCCTCATAACCATCACTTTGCTACTCTTTCATTCAAGTAAGAGAGATTGAGGTTAGCCTCTCATGGTAGTCCTATCGTCTAGCCGTAATATTGTTGTGCCAGGATTACTTGGCTCGCTTTATTGCTATGACAGACTGACCATAGTGCCTAGCTAGCCGATATTGATAATGACGTGTAGTGATCCTGTGAGCCTATCTTAGTTTCAGAGCCCGTCTTGCTACCACGTCAAGCCAATTATTCGCCAACTTAGTCACTGCTCTGATCCTCTCGCTCAGTCGAACTCTTCCCTTCCCCCGTCTTTCTTATCTTCTTCTTTTTGAATGCGCATGCTTGTGTACGTTCATCAAATAAGAAAAGGGTGAGGTCTGACCCGCCTGTCTTATAACCTTTGCCATATATGTGTGTGATTGCAGAAAATAAGACGAATACAAGCCAAGGGAGGTGATTTCGAACCAGTTTTATTACTAGGGGCCTTTCTTCGTGATCTAAGAAGGTGGCCACGTGAGTTAGCCCGAGTAAGTTCCGAACCCACCTTAAATACCTCTCTTACCGGTTGGTAACACCTGCCCCTGTTCTTGAACGAGGCTCCAGAGAGAGCGATCTCAAAAACGTCCTAGGTCTTCCCTCAAAACCCGAGATGCGTGTCGCCCGATCATCCCGATCCGGAGAGGGAGATCGAGGCACCTAACCACGATTAGTAAGGAAAAATTCATTCGTGCTCTTGACAAGTTAGGCTCATTCAATCTCTTCGAACCAACTTGAGGGGGAGTGTTAAGACAACGTGGTGTATCCTAGTGATATCTACATATCATCCAGCTTTCCTAAATCACGTTTCCCTTAATCAGGCTGCTCACTGTTTTCTTTTGTGGACTCTTCAATATAGAATGTTATCATGTACAATTCTATAAATCTATACAAGAGAGCCATAGAAGGGCCATAATAATAGAGATTAATTCTCCCTTCGTTAATGTAGACCCAATTGGCTGAACCACATAAATTCTTGTGTACACATTTTCTCTCCCATACTCTTAACATTAACACTATTAGATAATTGAAATAAACTTTGAATAATAATGAGCCATAAACAATGTATGTAGAAATTAGCTTAGACGTTTCGGCATTTCTAAGTATTATCATATGTATGTATGTTGGAAAAGGCACATTATAAGACGTTTTAGCTTTAGTGCAACGAAGTACCAACCATCCTTAGTTGCTAGTTGCAAAATCAGAAGACTATGAGTCTTGTAATGAATGGGTTCAAAGTTCAAATAAAATTTTTTCAAATTTTATGCTAAACCCCAAGCTATCACAATTGTTATTCAACGGCTGAGAGTGATTTTTTATAAGAGGCGGATCCCAGCTGTTCAATTTGATATCTATCCCTTTGGGAGTTTTTGTAATTCCACCATGGACGATTGAGGTGTCTGTAACCTTTGTGGGCAGTAAAAAAAATTACAGTCTCTGTGTTTTCTCAACCCCTTTTTCGTTTGAGAGAGAATCTCATTATTTTCGTGGGTCACTTTTCAAAAAGAGAGATCACGCCCGTGGTTTTTTACATATTCATGATAGAATGAGAGAGAGCATTGTGCTGGGAGAGTATCCCAAAAAGCAAAAACACACAAATTCGAAATAATAATCAAATCAAGTTGAATTCAAAAACAGACGACCTTTCCAAACCGTCATAGTGGTGCGTCTATTTTTTTATTGTTAAGGCAAAAAGCTGACGATGTTGAAATGGCCACGTCACTAAGGAAAAGTCGCATCACCATTAATTTACATTCAATAACCAAAGAGATGAGAAACACCTGCCCATTTCTCCTATCCATTGGAAATAAAAGCACCTAACCCATTGCTAAAAATAAGGAATGGAATGGAAAGGCAAGCATTAAATCACAAGACACGAGAATAATTGTAAAGAGAGAGAAGGTGGTGATGAGAAAGAGACAAGAATGGGGATAGAGATCTAAACAAGAGTAGAGAGAGAAAGAGAGATGTGTGCAGTGTCACAATCAGGAAGAGAGAGAAAGTAGCAGTTGGAGACATGGTTGTTGCTGCTACCGATGCGCCTTGGCGTAAGTGGGTGCGGTGGGGCTGAAGTGGGAGGCCACCACGCGCGAGTCCAAGAGCTCGAGTATGGGCGCGAAGCTCACGCACCTGGGCACCTTGTACTGGTTAATGGACGCACCCCTTGATATAGCGTAGTCCATCAGCTCCTCAAAAGTTCCGCTCTTCACAACCCTAATCTCAAGTGGACCGACTGAGCGGCTCTCCGCCCTGTTTTGCCTGTACACAGCGTTCATCTTCTCTTCCATCTCCAAGCAGCATTTCTCCATCACCTCACTTCCTGGCATCGACTCGCCGCCCCCCAACAACTCCCAAAATATCACGTAGTGCCCCGGGATGGTCTTGGTGTCGGCATAGCTCGTGTACTCCGCGATGCGGGCACCGTGCTCGCGCCGGAGGACCACGCCCGCGGCCTCAACCGCCTTCTGGAGGTCAGCCTCGTCGGTCTTGTCTGAGTCGATGCTTAATAGGCAGTTCTTCCGACGCACAAAATGGAACTGAGGGGCGTTGTTGTGGAATCCACTCACGCGGAGGATGTCGCCCACTTTGTATCTGTAGAGCCCGGCATAGGTCGTGATCACGAGCTCGTACTCCCTCCCGACCTTCACGTCAACCATGTCGACCAGGTCCACTCGCTCGGACTCTGTCGGAGGCTGGTCGTGGGGCAAAAACTCGAAGTAGGCCATGTTTGGCATAATGGTGTATGAGACCTCAGAGGGAGCGCACATGGGGTTCAGGTTTAAGCCGAAGTAGCACTCGGAGGAGGCGTACATGGTGCAAGTGAGGGGGAGGCCGCCGCTATAGTAGTCGAGCGTCGGAATATACTGAGCCATGGCTCCGGTGACGATCACATCAAGGTACTTTGTGTTCGGCCAAACCCTGGAGATGATGCCCTCCCAATTCTCGCTCGCGCACTCAGTCACGATATGTTTCGCGAGTTCGGGGTTGGGTTTCAGAACCCTGGACAGAGCTTCGCGAATCTTCGGCTCGGTGATGGCCGTGCCCGGAGTGCCAGTGGTAACGTCCTGAACGAATTCTCGCCAGTGGAGCTGCAAGAAGCGGATGGCACGGAGGAGGCCAGAGGCAAAGACAGCGCCCATCCTGAGGACCTCCTTGTAGGAGCAGAGGCCGCAGAGCATCTGTGCATACATGCTCTGGAACGAATCGGGGCAGAGGATGGCTTCAATGGGGCTGGTGTAGTTGTTATAAGGGTCATGTGGGCGCAACCGGAAGTGCTCACTGTTGTAGTAACTGGTGAGCACAGGCCTCGCCGGGAGGCCTCCTGGTGTCTTGGTCTCCCTCTTGACGAAGAGGAAGTAGAGTCCCTTGCCCTTCTCCAAGCCAGGCACGAACCTACACAACAGAGAAACACTCAGAAAATGCTCAACAAACCCCAAACACAGACGTTATAAATCGAATCGAAGCATAAGAGAAAAGCTCACTTGTTCATGACAGGCATAAGAAGGCTGTACAGGAGCTGCCTTCGGTCCAACTCCTCTTGTATTGTGGGCATCAGCTTCTTTTCTCCTGCCGACGTCCCAGAGCTGTTCATTCCAAAGGATCCACCATTTTTCGATTTTAGTTTAGTTTTCAAATGGGTTCTAGCAGACAGAGAAGAGGAAATGAGGTATCGATGACTGTGATTTGCATACCTTGTGAGGAATTCGGAGATCGGGTGGGCAGAGAGGATGGGGGATCGGTCGCCATTAGCGATGCGTTGGATCTCAGGCTGGAGGTCCTCGTAGGTGATGACGGGGAGCTTGGCCTTGAAAGTGTGTCGATCGGTGAGCCCAGCAAGGCTGTAGCGTTGCAGGTACTCGGTGTGGGCGTTCCTCGTCAGTATCTCGGACAGGACCTGTGCCTGAACCTGCTCAGCCTGACAGGTCATCTCCTCTATGAACTGCAGCGCCTTCATGTCCTTCTCCGCAGTCGCACCCACGAAATCTGCAGCCTTAGGCATATCCAAACCCTTATCCATTAACCAAGAGAGAAAGTTTGATAGTCAAGAGATAGAAATGCTCTTTCTTTACGCCTGACCCTGAGCCTTGTTAGTGGCTGATTGGGTGTATATATAGGGGCGGGGATGGTTTGATGAGCCTGCCCTGTCCACGTCACGGTCAGGGACGGTGATGTTGAGGCCGAAGCAGGAATGGAATGAAGGGAGAGCAGCCATGCACGTAGTCGACAGGAGATATTTGGAAGGGCGTCATGGTAGGGTAAAGTGCGAGCACCGTGGCCCACTGCTGACGTGAACGTGGCTCAGGTGCGCCCCTGGTGAGTAGCATGGTGGGCCCACCGCTGACCGGCTGTCGGTGCATCTCGGCCGGCTGTCCGCCCGCTTCCGTCAGGCTCTAGGCCGTGACAACGATGGGCTGCCGGCAGCTTCCTGTAACGAAGCGACGCTACTCACCAAATCAAAACTAGACGACGGCCTCTCTCTCTCTCTCTCTCCCTCCTTATAGACGGCCAAACCTCATCTCAATCGCTAACAGTTTCTTGGTCATGTACGCCTCTCTCGCTATCATTACAACACTTTCTCTCTCTACAACCGGCATTCATCTTTCTCTCCCTTAAATGGGTTCCAATTGCACGAGCAAGAAGTCCTCTCTCTGAAAATTTTCCTTTTCACCCTCCTACCTGAACCCTGCTCGCTTCAACTGAATCTGTGGAACACCAGAAGTATGAAACTTTGCCCCTCTTTCTCTCTCTACCTATTAAGAGTTATACTTTCTCTCTCTACCGACAAAGAAGTTTCTCTCTCTTCTCACTGAGTCTCTCTCCTTGTTTCTCTCTCCCCCAACAAGAAGTTTGATTTAAAAGTCCCATCTTTGTTTCCCCACGAGCTGTAACAAGTCAAGCACTCTATCTCTCTCTAAACAAAACAAATTTCGTTCTCCACACTCAACAAATCCCTCTCTAACAAGTGTCTCTCTCTCTCTCCTCCGCCTAACAAGGCACCCAACTGGGACAAGCTAAGAGTTGAACTTCTTCTATTCATTCAACACTAAATTATTAGGGAAGACCACATTTTAGTCATACAAGCAATCGAATGTCTGCCGTGGTCTCCGGCAATCAATAAGCTTGCCAACAGGCCGTTGTCGGGCTAGCTGAAACCCGGCCCTAGATGTGTTAACCGGGGACCGTGCTCGGCCAAAAACAAATGAGGCAAAAGTAAAAAAGATTAAAAAAAAAAAAAAAATTAAAAGAAGATATCTGGTCAGTCCAAACTTGGCCGGTACGGGCTCTAGCCTTGCGGGCTCTAGCCTTGCCCTCGGGCAACCATTTGTTGGCCCAAGCCATTTCCGAGCTTGGCTAGGGCGCGTGGCTCATTACCACCCCTCAATATTAGGGCGTAGTTGGAGCCTTTTCGAGGCCTTCAGGATCAGGGACTGCTGGGTCCTTTTATGTAATGGATGGGATCTATATCTCCTTTTGTTTACTTCGCACCGCACGTGATGTATCCTCGTGAGATATTTTACCTAAACGAGTTCAAAAGCAGGAGTATAAGATCATCAGAAAATTCAAAAGCAGGAGCATACGATCATCAGAAAAATCACTCGAATCGGAGTAGAAAACATTTCAAAATTGTACCATACACATACCAAAAGATATTGGGAAAATAAAAAGTAAAAAATAAAAAATCTTAACCATACCTATTTCTCCACTATCCCACCAAAATAAGGGTTTCGAAACTGCGTAAATGCGGTCCGACTGTAGGTCCTCTATCTTATCAAATAGGGGCTTCGAAACTGTGTAAATGAGGTATGGCAGTTGGGCTACGACATTATATAAAATGTGGTCTGGCAATAGGGCTTCAACAGTAAATAAACTGCGGTCCCACAATTACAAAGGGTGATCCAGTAATAGATGTTATTGGATTCCCGGACTCCAGCACTATGTAAAGGGTGGTCCGGTAGTATCCAGTTTCGATCTGATGGTACTTGTGTATCGGAAAGGTATTTCCATTTTAAAAAAGAACTATTTCAGTTGGGGTTTTGTATATAAAATTTGTTTTAGGCTAAAAGGTGAAAAATAATTAGATTGAGTAAGTTGTACACAAAGTGTAATTTTCAACCGGCCTTGGAGTTTGAAAACTTATTTGTACTATTCCATAGACACGTACAGCTGCATTGATACAATGTGATGCACGCTCTTTTCGTGGCTAAAAAAACAAAACGAGTAGGGGACATTTCCCTGTTGCAACCAACCACACGTGTGAGATCTTAACACATGCATTGTTCATTTGGAAATGTTTAGGTTGGAACCCTTGAAGTTGTTATGCACCATGATACTGCTGTGGCCATTAGCCATGAGTTGGGCCGTCTTATTTTATGAAAATCAAGATCTCGTCTGTCTGGCTTGAGAAAACTCAAGGAATTAGAGATCAAGCAATTATGGTTTGAAAAAACTCAAAATTGCTCGACTCGAGCGATTTTTTTTTTTTTTTTTTCTTATTGTTTTCCTATTATTATCCGAAAGAGATTTTATATAATGAGACTAACTGTTTACCTTTGGTGCAGAGAGGTTATAATTACTTACAACCATCCGATCAGAAATCGAATAGCTTGAGTGTATCATATACTTCGAAAAATTTTCTTTAGAACTTTCAGCGTAGTTAATGAAATAAATGCAGCCTACTAACTTCACATCCAATGATCAAGATCAATTGTGATCACTTTGTACCAAAGGTAAATGGTCTCATTATATACTTTTTCACATTCAATAATCAAGATCAATTGTAATCACCTTGTACCATAGGTAAATGATCTCATTATATACTTTCCCTATCCGCAATAAGAATTACACGATTTGGATTGGATGACTCAAAATTGGTCCCCAAACAGTTCAAGGTCCAATTTTGATTTTGATGAAAACCATCCCAAAATGTTTTAAAAAGACAAACTTTGCGACATTTCCATCAACTCTTTTCGCCAGAATCCCGCTCTCTAAAGAAAAATAACTCTTTCTTCTTTTTTTTTCTTTTCATTGTACCAAAGTAGCGAAATCTTTTCCGATTGAATTATTCTTTCATAAATTTATAGGGCCATTATTGCAACCTTGTTCTTTCCAATTCATAATATTTCTATCCTTTGTTACCTTATATTTTATCGAGAAAACATAAACTTTCGAAACATATTAGGAATTAGAACGCAAGATCCCAAATAAGATAAGTATCCCTTCTTACAATTCGTTTGAAGGAGGTGGTCCGCATAAGGTAGCAACCTTAAAAAGTAAAAAGTAAAGTGCACCTCCTACTTTGGTGTCAAAAACACTTACGAAGGTGATGGAATCTATGTTTATTGTTAATTATAAATTTTTTAATATACCAGCTTTGTCATATGGAGTGAAATATTTAATAGTTAAAAAATAATATTCCCATAGAATGAATGTAGCAGAGATGATGATATTAAGATGGATAAGTGACAAAACAAAGAGAGATAGAATTCAAAATAAATAAATTCAAGAAAATTTAGATGTAGACCAATGTACAAAAAGATGAGAGAGAATAGACTTAGATGGGCTGGCTATGTATGGCACTGACCCTGTACAATACATGTTAGGAGGTGTGAGTTAGTTCAAAAAGAATGCTTCAAAGGGTAAGGGGTAAGCCCAAAATAAAATGGTTGGAAGTACAGAGAAAAGTAGGGAATTATAGCCTCACTGAGGGTATGACTCTTAATAGAAAAGAATGATAAACCAGGATTCGTGTAGCCGACTCTAATTAATTGAAAAAATGCTTTGACAATGATGAATTATAAAATCGTTAACTCCAAAAATAGTTCAAATCAAACAGATCTATAAGCACATGAAAATGAACAGCCCATATAATCTGTTTGCAAGATGTATTATTTTAAAAACTTGAAATCTCTCTTTTTTTTTCTTCATATTTATATATCTCAATGTCGATATGATCAATTAGATATATTTTTAAGGATTTTAGAGTTTTACCTTAATTTCAAAGTATGAACCTTATATAATTTTGTTCTTCATTTAAAAAACTAAAACCTCCAAAGTTTTGTTATAATGCTCTAGTTGTTGAGTGACACATGTGCATCACCAAACCACCATAAATAATGCCAGGGGGCCATTCTATGTTTTAGGCTCATATCCTCATCGAATGGAGATGCAAGTTTTGCGTTGTTTTCGTCCTCTCCCTCGAATCTTAGGTTTGTCCACTAGATTAGGTTTGAGGTCTCTTTCACGACCTTTTTAACCTAGAAAAAACAACACAAATAATTCAGCCTAAACAAGTAACACAAAAAGAAAACAAATAATTCAGCCTAAACAAGTAAAACACAAAAAGAAAAAGAAAACAAATAATTCAAGCCAAAACAAGTACACAAGGCATGATAACTAGCTTACGGGGCAAGAAAAAGAAAAGTCTATAATAATCTGGGTCATCTTCTTTAGAAAAGGACGCCATAATACAAAAGAGAAGAGGTAGGCAATGCCTATTATAAAAACTTTTTAAGTCTTTTAAACTTTTGGGTGACGTGTGGATATAGGGGAGTAAACCTATGCCAATACTTCTTTGCATGATGCATTATCCGATTCATTTCCAATTAAATATGGCTTTTAAGTGGTAAACAAAATGGACATCTTATTTTTTTTGGAAAATATTTTGATAGGGCTACATCCCTGTCAGTATAAATAAAATCTCACCTCGAAACTCACCAAACATTGCGGTTATAGTATCGGAAAACTTCAAATGGTCATCTTGGCCTTGACCACTCTAGTTGTGAAAAACAATTAAGAATTCAAGCTCTAAAAATAGTGCATATTGTAATACATTATATAGACCGTCTATTTAGAACTTGAAATAAGTGCTCACTGATCCATAAAATCAGTACCATTTTTTGAGCTTCAAATTTCATAGTCAGTATTGAAAATTGATTTTAGTACCATCATAGAGATTTATAATGCCAAAAGTGCTTTCTAGATGAGAATTCGTGGTGAGGCTTTACTTTGTTATCATAAAGCCGATGCCTTATAGAAACGACATCCTTTTTTTTTTTTTTTACAATGTTAAAATGGACACCTCTTTACC